GCTTTACCATGAAAGGCTGTTTCTTACATCTTTAGTCATAAAACTTTGTGATTCATCTCAGAGTCTCTTTTTTAAAAAGTCAAGGCTATTTAAACAAACTAGAAACTGAGGAGCCCCTAAAAGACTCACCCAGATTCAACTTCTTAAAGGAGAACAAGGTTTTCTATCCAGAATGATATAACAAAGAACAGGTAGTATGTTAAGTATTTTAAAAGGCTGATGCTTTTTCTGCCTTTTCGTCTTCCTCACTGAGATTTTTTTTATAGCATTTTCATTCAAGTTTCATTTACAAATTTTTATCAAATTGTTTTTAAATGTACTGAAAAACCAATTAACATTTTCTTCTCATGGATGATACAGATGTCTATTTTATTAGCTTTTACATCATTTTTTCATATATAGGTAAAAAGGTTTTTCCACTTACAAGATCTAAAGTTAGATTTCATAATTTAAAGTAGTCATTGTTAATGCTTATTATAATGACTTTAAACACTGTTCACAGATTCTGACATAATTTGTTAACTGTCATCCTTACTCAGTTTTAAAATACAGGAAACTTTTAAAAAATTGTATTAATCCTGCCCTAGAGGATATCCTTTATTCTTGGCTTAATTTTCTGGGAATAAAAAGCCTAAGGTAGAAAATAGGTTGGATTTCCTTTGTTTTTTGCCCTTCATTTATATTGAAGATGACACTAGTGTGTTTGTCTCTGTAAAATAATCACAAATGCATAACCCATAACCTGGTTTCTTCTTTCCACAGCCTCAGTGTTTACATGCTTGGCAATAGCTTTGGGATTTTATAGAATCTGGAAATAGCGAACTACTATATTAAGACCCTACTGCTGACCACTGCTATTGACTTCTTAGAACACTATACCGGGAGAGATTTACTTTGGATCTGAAAGTTGCAGCAGGTACTCAGTACAACAGCATTATTCCAAACACATGTGGACTAAAAAGAAATGTTTTAGAATGGGAAGGTTTGTTTTGGGTTTGTATTTTATATGTGTCTTTATTTTATGTTGAAAAACTGTTCAAAATTCGATTGATTTGAGACCAAGGCCTTTTGTCTTTATCCTTTTAAAAGTTCACAGAAGCTGATCCTGAGCTTTCTTGTGTTTGCTTAAACAACTATATCATACAGGATTTCTTAGATGTCTGCTGCAAATTTAAAAACAATTCCTAAGCCTATATACTTATTATTGTATTCAACTTTCCTGGTAACTATTGCACAATTACCTTTTCATGTAAAATAAAATGTTGTCATCACAAAATTGTTTGGATTTTAATGGAACTTATCATAGAACTAGAGATTGGGGTTTTTTGGTAGTGGATTAAAACAATAAACTTTAAAATCATTTGTACCCTAGTGCAACTATATGACAGTATGAAGTCTAGTTGCCATGTCTTGAGCTCTATTACATATACTTTTTAATTTTTTGATTCACAAAAACCCATTTTTCCATGCTTCTTAGAAACTCATCTTAGATTTATTACATAAAGTGAAGGATGTTTTGTTTTATTTTTTTGATCCCCTTAAATTCAGTGAACTTCCATTTGGTGACAAATTAGATCAGGCAGAGTTTTAGAAGGACTAATTGAGTCAGTAAAAACTCTTCACTGTATTTGAAAAGCAAATCACATTTAAAATTCCCATTTTGTCACTCTTAAAGAATTTAGATATATAAAAGTTAGCAGTATTTTTTTAATAGAAAAAATGAGGCAGTGAAAAAAACTATGGTCACCAACACTCAACTTAGTGGTTGTCATTTATGTACTAATAAAATGTTGAAACCTGATTTCGGCTTCGGTCATGCTGTCATGCATGGGTTGAAGCCCTGCGTTGAGCTCTGCGCTGATAGTGCAGAGCCATCTTGAGGTGCTCACTTGCTCTCTCAAAAAAGTAAATAAACTTTCTGGGGCGCCTGGGTGGCTGAGTCGGTTAAGCGTCCAACTTCGGCTCAGGTCATAATCTCAGTTTGTGGGTTTGGGCCCTGTGTCAGGCTCTGCACTGACAGCCAGCTCGGAGCCTGGAGCCTGCTTCAGATTCTGTGTCTCCCTCTCTCTCTGACCCTCCCCTGCTCACACTGTCTCTCTTTCTCTCTTTCTCAGAAATAAATAAAAAACATTAAAAAAAAATTTTTTTTTTAATGTTTTTTATTTCTGAGACAGAGACAGAGCGAGCGAGCGAGCATGAACAGGGGATGGTCAGAAAGAGAGGGAGACACAGAACCCGAAAGAGGCTCCAGGCTTTGAGCTAGCTGTTAGCACAGAGCCCGACGCAGGGCTTGAACCCATGAACCGCAAAATCATGACCTGAGCCGAAGTCGGGCGCTTAACCGACTCAGCCACCCAGGCGCCCCCAAAAAATTTTTTAAGTAAATAAACTTAAAAAAAAATATTTCTCCTTATATCTCTTTAACATCTTTTTCACTTCTATTTTTGTGTTTCATTAACATAATTTGGCATAATAAATATATATTTAGTCTTTGTCCCCAGTTCCTGACACAGATCTCCTAAAACCCTTACAATTTCCTAATAGGGGTAATTACAAGCTTCTTTCTGTTTTCTTGGCACACAGCTCCTAAAATCCTTCAAATCTATGGAATGATAAGAGTATGTTTGTATGCTGAGATGCCTGGTGGCTGGGAGCCCTTATGTAACTTCAGAATGGGGTCTGGTTGCCAAATAGACCAAGGCATGATTAGAGGGTGGAACATTCAGCCTCCCCAAACTCCCAGATCACCTCAACCTTTGGGGAAGGGAAGACAGGAGAGAAGCTGGAGGTTCAGGTAAGTTACTGCTGGGTCACCCAAGGAACATATCGGTGCCGGAGGCACAACAGGAGAGGGCCTGAAAGCCCCACGCATCGCTCACTCCATACCTTGCCCCCCGAGTCTCCTCCATTTGGAGGTTCCTGAGACATAGCCTTTTTAATAAACTAACAGTAAAGCGTTTCTCTGAGTTCTGTGAGCCATTCTTGCAAACTGTTGAACCTGGGGAGAGGGTTCTGGAAACCTCCAAACGTACCACTGATTGATTAGTCAGAAGTACCAATGACAACCTGGGAGTTGCAAAAGGGTGTCTGAAGTGGGGGCATTGTGGTGGGACTGAGCTCTTTATCATTGGGAAGTCTGGTGCTAACTCTGGGTAATGTCAGAAATGAACTGTTGAACATCCGGGTGGTGTCCAGAAAATCCACGAACTGGTTGTGCTGGAAACAGCACCCGTGACAGTACACATACGCAATTTATGATTAAATACGTATAAATTGAGGATCATATTACAATCTTTATTTAACTATAATAAGACCCAAAATAATAGTGGTTTATAGAACAAAGAGATTTTGTCCTTGCTTACCTTCAGTCCAAGTGTAAGCATTTGAGGGCTGATAGGCCAGCTTCGTAGTCTCTGGGCACAAGATCCTTTTCATCTTACTGCTCTACCCTTCCTGCTGTCGCTCTCCTTCACATGTCCTTTCCTTTGAAGGGCATGACCCTGAGGTTATACACATCTTTTTGCTCAGACTCTGTTGGCCACAACTTGGTGTCTTAGTTGCCAAGGAGACTGGGAAGTTAGCCCTTCTCCTGAGCAGCCACAAGCCAGTTATATCCTAACACTGCAGGGAAGAAAGGGAGGACAGGTGGTGGGGGGCAGCCAGGGAACCTCCGCCTCAAGGGTGCCCGCTTATATGAGCACACTCCTCTAGTTCTTTCCTACCTCACTGCTGCAGAGAGAGACTAGAGATGTGGCCCTGAGAAAACTGGAGCAAGTATAACAAACTATTTACAGAGTTGCCATTCGCTTCAGGGTCACCAGGCTGGAAGGAAGAAGTAAGGCTGTGTGTAGTCCCAGAAGGTGAGAAATGTTGGATTTGGGAATTCCTGTGGTGGTCAAGAACGCAGATGCTGAAGCTTCCCCACCGAGCTTAGAGTTCTCCACATTGCTGTGCGATTCTGAGCAAATCCATCGTCCATCTATAAAATATACCTGTCTCCTGCTGTGGTAAGAATTTAGGGATAATATGTGGAAAGGACTTGGCACAGATCTCACACACAGTAAGTATGAAATAAATGTTTTATTATAGATTGAAGGCCTATTGGAAATCACAGAGAAACTAACACTAATGACTCTAAAGGTTTATCAAGAGGATGGGTCAGGCATTTTTTAACACTTGGCTTACAAACCCTTGATCAGCCTGATCTTAGCGCTCAGATACACTCCAGTCAAGGCAACTATCAGCATGGCCTTTAGCGTCCACGTAAAGAACATGCCAGAACCCAAGGGTGGGCCTCTGGTGAATGGTGAGAAAGCAGCTGCCTAGGAAGCCCAAAGCCAACAATCAGCTCTTCAGGAGAGAGGCAGGATCTAGACAACTGCCCCACGACCATTAACAGATCGGCTACATCAAGGAGGAAGCAGGGAGAGGAAGGATGGGAGGGAATGAAGTCTGAACTGAAATGAAATGCTGTGGTGGTTTTTTGGTCAGCAATGTTGAGGGAAAATTTAAAAAAAAAAACCATGTGCTTTTATCCTGTTCAGTCTGCCTCATTTCTGTGTTGCTTTCTTATAAAGCTTGAGAGACAGAACAATGGTTGAATTCTAAGACGGATTATTTAAATAGGTATTCTTAGCAAGCATACTACGATTTTTTTTCCTTCTACAAGAACAGATTTTCATTTTATGTAAAACTTTCCTGAGTGAGATATTTGGTTGTTACTGTAAAGATGTAGAATTTCCCATAATTTTTAATGTCTACATTTCTTTTGATTACTGACTGCACCATCTTTTATTTTAAACTTTGTGTGAATACCTGCAAAATTAATTACTCATAAATGTGGAGTCTCACCTACATAAATGTATAAAAGTATATACTGGGAGGGAGAGTACAGCTGACTGCATGCAACTTTAGCAATCTCTTTGATACTCTATTTCTGCCTTCAGAATTGGGATAGTATGTAACTGAAGAGAATTTATATGGGTTTACATTTACATCAGTTTAAAAAGAAAAGAAAAATCAAGTTTATTTAAAGTTATTTCACTGATTAGTACCTTCTCACAAAAACTCCCCCAGAAGACACCTTTTTCTTCACTCGCCTCTTATCTTTGCTTGACTCAGAAGACTCCTCTTCCTACAAAGAAAAAAGAGCCAAATGAGAGATCTGCTATAGACACAGTTTCGTCCTTCTACATTATCTGTTCCAATAGAAGAAATTTTACTATACTATTATTTTCAACTCTGGGTTAAAATTCTTCTAGGATTTTGTATAAATAAATTCTCAAATCTGAAGTATCAGGCCATCATACTGTGCTGACTCATGGACTAGGTAGGAGACACCTAGAGAAATCAACCAGTCCTGGCTCTGCCTGGTACATCCCCAAAAGAGCATAGCTCTATTTCTGCTTTTTTCTTAGCCTGTCACTTCTCAATGTACTGCTACAGGACACACACAGTGTTAGAATGTCATTGTCTGGATTCTTTGCAAGCCCCGTAGTGCTAGGAACCACGTCTCCTGGTTCCTTCCATTCCTTCCATTCCACATCTACTGCAGCCCTTCCTCTGTGTTCATACAACATCCTTCTACTGCCCTGTCTCCCTCTCCACTCTGCCTGCCACCACTGTTTCCAAATATTTCTCACCCAACACAGTATTCTCAGGACCTAGCACAGAAGATTCACTTAATGCCACAAGGAGGAATGAGAGAGAGCTAGACAGTGACGCTCAGCAGATGCTAATCATCTATGAATAATTCTCCCAGTCAAAAAGTGCTCTACACCTAGCTGGTCAGGAAAGAGCTGAATGCAGGGGCTCCAAGAACTGCACAAGGCACATACATGTCCGTGGGGAGAGCCCGTGGCCAGAGTTCGAATTCCCCCGGGTGTGCCTGCCCACACCCTTGCATTATAAATATGGTCACTCTTATCAAAACCAGTTGCTGCTGTTGTTACTATCATCAAAAACTATTTAAGTGCATTACATATGTCAAATGATCTTGAGAAACTACCCTGAGAAATTTTTTCCTGGATAAAAATTATTCTATTATAGATTGTTTTGCAGGGAAAAAGTCTATTACAGATTGTTTTGCACGGCTGAATGCAATCATAGGTCCTGACCAGAAGGTGGCAGGAGATTTAGTCAGAATTTCTTGAAGAATCTATATAAATGACTGAATGGAAAGTTCATTTTATTTATACGTTATATATTTAGGCTCCCAAATAAACGAATTCCTACTCTCACGCGTAGGGTTCCACACATTTATTTACCTACTGATGAGGTTTATTCAGCTTGAATATATAGAAAATGAAAAGGAAGGAAAAAGAAAAGGATATGAAGAAGTGTGGATATATTCCTGTGAATCCTATGAGATAAAAATACCTCAGTACTGCCACTCGGTCTTTCACTTAACCTCAATACAACCTAGTGAGATAGGTGTTACCCCATTTCAAAGATCAGCTGAAGACCCAGAAGCTTCTGCAGAAAAGATGCAGTGGCAGGACTGTAGCTGTCATAAGAGGTTGATGACACTTGCTCATTTACGAAAATTCGATTAACCTAAAGCAGGTCTGCAAAAGACGATGGGCCTGCAGTACAGTGACCTGAGTCTGCTCTCCTGAAAACCACGTGGTTATTAGAGAGCAGAGCTTTAGGAAGGATGTGCTGTGTCGTATGGAATTGAGCCCAACGCCTGAGAACAGATGTTCCAGGGTTAGAAAATAATATTTAAAATAGCTACTAAAATTTTTTTTCTAGGTAGACGAATCGATTTGGAATGACTCAACGATGGTGAGGCTTGGGTAATCCCCAAAAGATCTAGGAGCTGGTGCCGCCCGGAGGCGGAGGTGGCGGATCTGCTGCCGCAGGGTGAGGAGGAACATCAGGATTTGGACTGTAGGGGAAAGTTTATGAAAGGTGTGTGTCCTCAGGTCCCCCGGCCAACACCCCGTGACCGCACAGGCTGGCCTCTCTACACAGCAGTTTCCCACAGTGGCTAAGGGTGGTGCAAAAATAAAGAGAATGGGTTATAATTAATTCTCTCTCTTGGAAAAGTAAGCACTGGTGGAGGTGTGTCAATGTGTGCATGCAGAGAAGTCACATACGTGTTTGTAGATGAACAGAATGCTGTCTGACCCGAGACAAACCAAACCGTTACCAGTAGCTTCCTCTGGAGAGTTGGACTTGGTGTGGGAAGGAACTACTGCCCTGTTTCTAACAGTTTATAACAACCACGTGTGCTAATATTTTTAAAGTGGTTACTAAAGAAACTAATGATAAGTTTGTACAAAATAAAAAGCCAGGCAGTTTTTCTTATAAATCAGAGTTGAGACAATATAGGTCTGGACTAGAACTAACTCACCCACAATGACTGAAGGAAACATTTCCCTATGGAAAGAAAACAGGAACCCTGCGTCACTTGAGCTTCCCCAAGAGCCACATCAAGGCTGTCTTCACCCACAGGAGAAAGTGAGGGTCAGAGTCTCCCCAGTGTCCTTTATGCCTGCTCTGCTCTGAGACTAAAGGGCCCCGATACAGGCACCACCGTGGGTCCCCTGCTGTCACTTTCGCTCTATTTTCTATATTCTAGCTGCTTTTCTGTATTTGTCGTTTGTATCCGTTTCTCATATCCATTTCTTTTCAGCCTCCTCCTACATGTTTGTCCTTTTTATTTGTCACTCTAAACCATTTTTCTAGATTTTAGAGCCATGTTCTGATTTCCAGATTCATAATTCTAGCCGGGAATTATGAAAAGAGCTAAAGCTATGGGATCAAAAGCTAGAGACTGAATACTGATCTCACCATTATTAGCTGTGTGAATTCAGACAAGTTACTTCAAGTCTCTGAGCCTCGGTTTCCTCACACGTTAAATGAGGGCAGATCAAATGACATGCTAACCCATGAAAGAACTTTGTGAAGGTGAAGCATTACAGATGTTCGTTTTTACTACTCTGCAATCAAGCTGAACAAAGGGATACTATGACCCCTCCCACACTGGCTCCTTTCTACTCTTCCAGCTGCTTTTGAGCATGTGCTCGCTTTGAAAGCACAAATACTAAAAATTTCTTTTGAGGAGCTGAAGCTTTCTTACATGAATTCCATTCCATTATTCTGGCTGCTGAGAATGTTGAAGTATTTTTAACAGATTCCAGCTGTCTGAGAATTATTATCAGTCTGCTTATAAAAAAATATTTTTTCCTCGGGGCACCTGGGTGGCTCAGTCAGTTAAGCATCCAACTTCAGCTCAGGTCATGATCTCACGGTTCGTGAATTTGAGCGCTGCAGCGGGCTCTGTGCTGACAGCTTAGAGCCTGGAGCCTACTTCACATTCTGTGTCTCCCTCTCTCTCTGCCCCTACCCTACTGGGACCCTCTCTCTTCCTCTCTCTATCTCAAAAATAAACAATAAAAAATATTTTTTTCCTTGTGTCACAGACAATAACACTGCATACTTCCGAGGATGCTATACTAGCCAGTATCTATGTAAAGTAAGTGTGTGTGCATATGAAGTTTTATACTGTTATACACATAGTTACATAGAGAGATTCCTTCAATCTTTACAACACTTTAGAAAGTATAAATTATTTTCTCTGGCTTAAAAATAAGGCACAGAGAGGTTAAATGACTCGTCCAAACTACAAACGGTTGCAACCGAGATTCAAACCCGAGCCTAGGCTCTTAGCTCCTCTTATAAACTACTTCTTGAGAGAGAGAAATGTGTTAAGAGGACACCAACCACAGCAACGCTGGGGGCCCGAACCCCTTCCAGTGTCTCCAGGAGTTGATCCACCTCTGCGCGGCACTCATCCAGCTGACCTTCTAATTTTTCCCTGCGCAGCCGTTCGTACTCCAGCTGGCCCTGCAGCTCCTTGATCGTCCTATCAAAAAAAGTTGTGTTCAGTCTCCAGTATCAACTACCAATTATTTTTGGCAACAGCGGAACACATCTATGCATTGTATTTATGCAAATAAAACAAGGAAATAATTTATTCAACAAATAGGTAGTACTGAGAGTCTACCGTGAGCCAGCACTGGTCTAGACACCGGGGGTACACTGGTGAGCGAAACAGGCCAGATCTGCCTTCCTGGGCCTTATCTTCGCTGCGGAGGAAGACAGACAGTAAAGAAACAAGTAAATAATACGGTGTGGGGGAAGGTGATAAATGCCAAGGCAGAATAATTAAAGCAAGAAAGAGTAATATAAAATGTCACCGAGGAGGGGATTAATACCGCAGACACAGTGGCCAGGGAAGGCCTTACTGAGAAGGGGGCTTCTGAACAAAGTCCTAAAGGAAATGAGAGAGGTAACCACACAGACATATGGAGGAAGAGCATTCCAGGGAGGATAGCAAGTGCAAAGGCCCTAAGGCAGTAGGACTGGTGAACTGGAAGAAACCCAGAAGCCAGTGTGGCTGGAGCAGTTTAAAGTACAAAAGGAAAGAAGACCAGTAGGTCAGAGAGGCAAAGGGGAGCCAGAACAAGCAGGGCCTTGTAAGTCACAGCAAGCATCCAGGCTTTCACTCCGAATGAAGTGGGAAGCCACTGGAGGGAGGGTCCGAGCAGAGAAACGGCATGATCTTAGACTTTTGTTTTCTTTTGTATGTTTTAATGATCTACAGCTGGAGTAAAATACACAAATATCAACTGAACAATGAGTTTTGATTGATGTGTAAGCCTGGTAATCACCACCACTACCAAAATATAGAATATTTTCATTGCCTCCGAAAGTTCCCTCGCATCCTTCCCAGGCGATTTTCATTTCGCATAGGCTACCACATTCTGAATGTCTATCCTGTTAGATTAGTTGTGCCTATGCTTATAAGTGAAAGTGTGTATTACCTGTTTTTGTGTGCCTGACTTCTTTCAGTCAACAGTGTGTGAGATTTATTAGACCTAGGTTTTAACATGAGTACTCTGGATGCCATGTTGTAAAAGACTGTAGGGGACAGAGAATTAGGGGGCAGGAACAGGAAGCTGGGACACATAGCAGGAAGATCTTAAAAGAAGTCCAGACAAGAGATGATGACACCTGAACCGGGGTATTTTTCTGCCTTATTGAGGGATGGTGGGGGAAACAGAATTTCCAAAGCAGGCTGGGTGGCATGTCAGGTTCCTATGAGGGCCATCTAAGAGCCTCGGTAGTAGCTCTGGTATGGAAGTGAGTGGCGTTAAGACTGGGAATAGGAAAGAAGAATGTCCACTGTGGATACCTGGAATCAATCAGCAAACAAACGGAAGTCATTCCCAGGGCAGAGTAACACCACTGGTACTATGCTCTCTTGTGACTCTCATCTAGCTAAGAAATGAGAACAAAATCTAAAGGACATCCCTCAAACCAATATTTGTGCAGTGTTTCTTTCCCATTAGACCTAAAAACACGAGTTTGTACTTAAAAAAATGTCTTAAGATGTACTCAAAACAAAGTGGGGAACAATTACTACAGAAGAATTAGACCTCACTCAGAAGACACTGTCTCAGCTGACATGAAACTACATTTTCTTTACAAAGGCTGAAGCAATTTTTTGGGGGAAAATCTGTTCAAAATCACATCAATAATATAACCATTTTACAGTGAAATGTGAATATTAGGATTAAAAATTCCATTAAGGACTTAAAATTATAGTCATCTCAGATAAAAGGTTTGGAGTCAAATAGGCTCAAATCCGGACTTCCACCTCCCATCCTTTGTCCTGCCTTTGTTGACTTCACGGGACTCACTTCACCTCTACAGTAAGTCTTGGTTTCCCATTCACTTAATAAGACAATAAATAGCTCCTGGCCCTGTGAAAGCTGTGTGAAACAATGTATCTAATCAGCTTATCCAGTGGCCAGCACAGTAGTGCCCAGAAGTAATACAAGCAGCGGCAAAAGTTCTCACCTACCTTAGCAGGGAAGCAAAGAAAACCAAAATTTAAAAGCTCATTATCTAGGGAAAAAATGCTCCAGTGTGAAGTACTTTCCCACACTACAAGGCCTTTCAGCCAGGCTCTTAAGGCAAAAGGCAGTACGAAAAATATTCTACATCTCCAAACACTTTTAATCAATGTAGAGGCAGCTAACAGCTGAGATACCAGAAAAACCTCTAATTAAAAAGCAATCTTTTTTTTTTTTTTCCTTTGGTCAGCTACTGCTTCCTAGTGTCTAAAATCCCACTACAACGGTGTTTGGGCTTACAGCTTTGACTTCAGTTTAAGGAAGTGAGCATGAGGCAGCCTCTATTCCAGCAGCACCAAATGTGCAGAGAGGCGATTCAGGGTACAGGCAGCAACGGGTGAGGCCAGCTTTGCAACCGCTCACTGCACCTGGACACGACCACATTCTCTGATGGGGCAGGACAGTCAGCACAGGACCAGGTCTCAGATTTACGAGTTCTCAGTCCCATTTGACAGGCATGGTTAGAGAAACTGTTGGCTGCTAAGCTCAAAGTAGGTGTGATCTCAAAAAAAAAGTCTTTAGAGAGTTGCAGTTTTATAAGATGAAAAGAGTTCAGGAGACCAGTTGTGCCAAAGTGTGAAAATACTTAACACTACTGAATTGTTCACTTAGAAATGGCTAAGAGGATACATTCCGTGTTATGTGCATTTTACCACAACTAAAGATCATCTTAACATCTTCTCCATCTGGGAGCTTAAGAGAAAAACTGGCTGGAACCTTACACCCTTTGGTGAGGATGGACAAACAAGTTGTCAACAAACCCTCAAACGGCACTGAGAAAGGGAACCAAAAGCAAAGCATAATAGTTCTGAGGACTTTACTTTTCCGACTCAAGCTGCTCTTTCCTCTGCTTTAGATCTTCTTCTGATATCCCTCCCAAGTGTTTATAGTTGCTCTCCGCAATTTCCAGCATGTGTCTCAGTTCAACAATTTTCTTATAAGCTCTCACTGCAAGACAAAGTTGAACAGAAACCTTGTTTAGACAGGTAACAGCTCATGTGCTCACAGGATGCTGGTCCTAAAACACATGCTTCTCCTGGAGCCAGTGCTCAGCACTCTGGGGAGGGGGTGTTGGGGAGAGGGCATAGACAGAGAGGATAAAGATCAGTAACAGAAGATTAGTGTGAACAAGCAGTGAAATACCTGTCTGGAGGATTCTTTTCCTGCTATTGAAGGGTGCATCAAATTGCTATGGTTATTAATGCTACAAACAGGCAGCTTTAAAGAATACTGCAGTTTCTAGGATTCGTGGTGTATTACGAGACCACGCAAAATCTACTGTATGTAAGAAAATTAGAAAAACTGAAATATGCTTGATTTATTTAAAACAAACCAGATCTAACCCAGGCCCACAATTTTTTTTTAAGTTCATTTCTTTATTTGGAGAGAGAGAGCGTGCACACAAGCAGGGAAGGGACAGAGAGAGAGGGAGAGAGAGAATCCTAAGGAAGGTCCACACTGTCAGAGAGGAGCCCCCTGTAGGGCTCAATCCAGTGAACTGTGAGATCATGACCTGAGCTGAAATCAAGAGTCAGATGCTTAACCGACTGAGCCACCCAGGAGAGACGGACCTCTAATTTGGTCATTAGTCACTTGTAATATCTATTTATGCAAGAGCATACCGAGGGAAGGAATTCTTGAGAGCTTCTGTTGAAGCTATTATCTAGCTACCAAAACTGATTTTTATTTTCATGTTTACTTTTGAGAGAGAGAGAGAGACAGAGTGTGAGTGCAGAAGGGGCAGAGAGAGGGGCAGACACAGAATCTGAAACAGGCCCCAGGCTCCAAGCTGTCAGCACAGAGCCTGATACAAGGCTCCAACTCACGAACCACGAGACTATGACCTAAGCCAAAGTTAGTTGTGTAACTGACTGAACCATCCAGATCCCCCCCAAAACATTGTTTCCTATCCTTGTGGCAATGGTTCTGTCCTCCAAAGGCCATTTGGCAACATCTGGAGACATTTTTGCTGGTCACACTTGGAAAGGAACAGACTGTTGGCATCTAGAGGCTTGGGATGAAACTAAAATCTTAAAATGCACAGGAAAATCTCCCTCAACAAATAAGCATCTGGCCCAAAATAACAATAGTGCAGAAGTTGAAAAATCCAGCTTTACAGGACCAGGTTGGCAAGTCACAGCCTCTTCTCCCTAACACTTAACATGCGGATTTCTCTCTTAATAGGTTATAGATCCACAGGTTCCAAGCTGCATCCATCAGAATCGGGGTGCTCTTTAAAAATGCACATGTTTGTGCCCCATACCAGACCTACAACTTCAGGTACTGGTACTAAGCCCCTCAGACAATGTGGTGGGCAGACAGGTTTGGAAACCACTATAACCAGCAATAAGCAAGTAGAGAGAATTTTAGAAAAGAGAGGCTACAAAAGATCAAAAGAACTGTGGCTATCCCTAGGAATTTACCCAAGGGATAGCCACAGTTCTTTTGATCTTTTGTAGCCTCTCTTTTCTAAAATTCTCTCTACTTGCTTATTGCTGGTTATAGTGGTTTCCAGAGGCATAGGAGCACATGTACCCCAATGTTCATAGCAGCGCTCTCCACAATAGCTAAAACATGGAAAGAGCCTAAGTGTCCATCAACAGATGATTGGATCAAGAAGATGTGGTTTATCTATACCATGGAATACTACATGGCAATGAGAAACAATGAAATCTGGCCATGTGTAGCAACATGGATGGACCTTGAGGGTGTTATGCTGAGCGAAATAAGTCAGGCAGAGAAGGACAAATATCATATGTTTGCACGTATAGGAGGATTAGGAGGAACTTGACGGAGGAACAAGGGGGAGAAGAAGGGCGGAAATGGTGGGGGAAAGGGAGAGAGGCAAACCATGAGAGACTCTTGAATGCTGACAAAAACTGAGGACTGATGGATGTGGGGGGGAGGGGGGGATGGGCATGGAGGAGGGCACTTTGGGGATGAGCACTGAGTGTTATGTAGAAACTAATTTGACAATAAACTATTTGTAAAAAAAAAAAAAAAAAAAAGAACTGTGGCTATTTAGCTCATATAATTCTTTAATATCCAAAGGCTATGTTTTGGAAGAGCTGTTCTATGGGGTCATCAGAGTTAAGAGCTGGGATTAAATGAGATTAGCTCCAGGAAGAGAGGTTTTTAACTCAACTAAGGAGAAGCTTTTCAACAAAAACAGTACAAGCTATTATGTATTTCTGGAGTGCCTGTGATACGCAAGACACTACACCAAGTTCCTTGCACATTTTAATCCTCACAAGAAGGCTGTTGGCTGAAAATGGGACCACTGGAAAACAATGAGTATCTTGTCACTGAAGGTGACTTAGTGGAGGCTAGATGACATGTGACAGGAATGTTGAGTCAAGAGTCAAACTTCAAACGGGTAAAGGATTCTATGATGGCATAGTCCTAACTATAATTTACTAAAGAATGCTCTAAACTGAGGTTCAGTTCCAGGAATTGTGGATGTCAAGAAATCCAATCAGCCCCCTACAGGTGCTCTGGCAAAACCCAGTGTCCCAAGAAGGGGCCATCTTGTCCTTCGGGTCCAACTCTGGAATAAAATTAAGAAAATGGCCCATGGTTTCATAACTCCACTAGCTGAAGCATCCCAGCTAGGTAGGTACCAGTGAAGTTCACTGTACGGCAAGAGTTTAAGACTACATAGGAAATGGTTCTAGTCATATTCTTGGTCTTTCCTAAAAAATCTTTTCAAAATGTTGTGACCCACTGACAGTGATCCTCTTTCAAATATCTCTTTCACAAAAAATTTCAGAAGTAAATGGAAAGTCTAAAATCAACTACTCGTTCTCTGAGGATCTAAGTTCTTGCTACTTCCTGAAATAATCACCAAAAAGTAATTTAAGTACCAACAAGAAAATTAAAAAGTAGATAAATTGAACTTTTTCAAAATTTAAAACTTCTTCAAGATTCCAGTCCAATGGACACACCTATTTATAGAGCAAATTATACCTATTATAGAGCAGTTGCTCCTGAATAAGAACTGAAGGCTGACTGAACAGCTTCTGCACAACAGAATATGGAGAGGCCACACAGAGAACAGCGAGAGAGACAGAGACATGGTAATGAAGGGAATTCCCACTCCTGGTGTTGTAAACTACAGTGGGAAGGAACCAGGAGCAGATTCATCTGCCCAGAGGCACAGAAAAATAGTCAAAGTTTAAAGGAAGCAACTAGAATACAAAGGAACCATCATTAGAACCCCGCCAAACAGCAGGGGAGTTGTTGGAACTCTCTCTGAAACAGAAGGGTTGGCGAGCTGCACAGTTCATGTTCCCACTCCACCCTGATAGCACAGATAGACACAGGGTCTGATGCCCATAGCCAGCCTATCCCCTCAGTAATTCTGGGGCCCCTCGTCCACAAGAGCCCCATCAATCCCACCAAGGCAGGCCTAAGGTTCACACCAAAAGCCTCTGGTCTGCCCTCACTGTAGCTCCAGCTATCTTGCCACGGTGACACAGGCTCAAAGTGCCATGTAACACTGAGGTCCCTACCATGCTGGCATCCTCAGCACAGCACAAGAATCCCCCGGCCTGCATCTACCTTGGCTCTAGTCAATCAGCAGGGAACCCCCTGAATTAAGCACCTTGGGACACTCTGATTTGTATCCACTTCAGCTCTAGCTATCCTGCCAAAGTGCCTTCAATGCACAGAGCCCTGAGCCATATTCACTTCTGCTACAGCTGTCCAGCCAGGGCACCCTCGGCATCTGCAGTCCTGAGAATACCCAGCCTCCACCCACCTCTGCTCTGGCCATGGCACCGGGAGAGCACCAGCAGACAGGGTTCCAAGACCTCCGTTCAGCCAAAGTCCTGGCCAGCCAAAGTCTAAACAGCATGAGACTAAACAATGAATGAGTCAACGAGGACATCAAAGAATAAATTTAAAAATACATGGAAAAAATGACAATAAAACACAATGATCCAAAACTCAGCACCCAAAAAATGAATAATCCAACAAACAAAAAAAAAAATGGGCAGAAGAGGGGCACCTGAGTAGCTTAGTTGGTTAAGAGTCCAACTTCAGCTCAGGTCATGATCTCATGGTTCATGAGTTCAAGCCCATCATTGGGATCTGCGCTGACAGCTCAGAGCCTGGAGCCTGCTTCAGATTCTGTGTCTCCCTCTCTCTCTCTGCCTCTCCCCAGCTTGTGCTCTCTCTTCAAAAATAAATATTTTTTTAAAATTGCAGAAGACATGTATAGGCATTGTTTCAAAGAAGACATACAGATAGCCAACAAGCACATGAAGCTGATCAAAAAATACAAATCAAAACTATAATGAGATATCACTTCATACCTGTCAAAATGGCTAAAATCAACAACACAAGAAACAAGGACGGCAAGGATGAGAAAGGCGAGCCCTCATGCACTGTTAGTGGGAATGCACACTGGTATAGCCACTGTGGAAAGCAGTATGGCGATTCCTCAAAAAATTAAAAATAGAACTACCCTACCCTACAATTCAGCACACTACTGGGTGTTTACCTAAAGAATACAAAAATACTAATTCAAAGGGATATATGCACTCCTATGTTTATACCAGCATTATGTACAATAGCAAAATTATGGAAACAGCCCAAGTGTCCATTAATCGATAAATTGATAAAGAAGATGTAGTATATGTATATATACAATGGAATATTATTTAACCATTAAAATGAATGAAATCCTGCCATATGCAACAGCATGAATGGGGCTAGAGTATACTGTTAAGTGAAGTAAATGAATCAGAAAAAGACAAATACCGTATGATTTTATTCATATGTGGAATTTATAGAACAAAAAAACAAAGGAGGAAAAAAAAGAGAGACAAACCAAGAATTGGACTCTTGGACCTCCTGCGTAGCTCAGTTAAGCATCCAACTCTTGATTTCACCTCAGGTCATGATCTTACATTTCATGGGATGAAGCCCACATTGGGCTCTGTACT